GCGGGATAATGGTTGTTCCTGTGAGACAGATTGGGGCTCAGTGCATACCGCCGAACACTACGCACTTACATACGCCAGATGGTACCGGGTATCATGCAGAGGACCGAGCGTGGTTCTAATGACCGAACGGATGTTTATTCGAGTGCGAAGAATAAGATTGATAGGAGGACAAATTGGACACCGCGGCGCAGAGCCGCACTTGGGGGCGAAAAGGGGGAAGGAAAAGGAACAGAACACATGGAGCTACGTCCATGGAGCTACGTCACAGCCTCGGGAAGAGTGAATAGTGATTGGCGACCGTGGCGGGGCCCATCGTGCCGTGCTACCCCCCTCGGCTGGCTGGCCCATTTCAGGCGACAGCTCTCCGGGGTCTTTGTCAACCTCGATTCACAATAAATATGTCCCTCCTGTCGTTCCACTCTCTCTTTGTTCCGTGTTCCTCATCTCTCCCGTTCTCGCTCTCTCCACGTTCGTTCGTTCGTTCAATCGTACGACCCGCCCTTTTTTTCCCCCCTTCTTTTTATCCATAGAGAAATTTCATCTCTTGGCAACGGTCAGTCACCACCTTCCTCGCGTAACTACCCGTTCTCGAAACACCGTTCCTCATCCTTTCTTGACCCCCACTAGCTACTAATCCCCTGATTTCCTGGTTTTTACACGTGCCTTCATCGTTTTCCCGCAATGAGGGCTTTAATCCGCCCGGTTTCAATTCATGCTGCATCATCACCCATAGAGACCATCGTGTTCTTTTTCGTGCTTGCCACGCTCGCGTACTTCCATGTCCTCGCTGCTATTAAGCACTCCTCTTTCTTCGCCCCGACTAGCCCCCCACCCTTTCGCCCATCACATGCACTCTGGCGTGGCAACGAGTGGGTTACCGTGCCGGAGGTGCAGTGGCATGACGTCCTCGCCCATCAGTCCACTCATGCCTCTGCCATCGAGCTTCAGCAACTCACCATGTCTTTCGACGCCAGGACAGCTAAGAAGGCGCGTGCAGGCCCCCTTTTTGACTTTGAGCGCACTAACCGGTTGATGTAGATTGTTGAGAGTCCCAGGCTCTCTCTGCAGGTCGCTAACTCCTTGGAAAATATAACCCAGTTCCTCATACATCGATTCCCTACGTCATCTGGCAAATTCTTTACGAATCTTTGCCACTCGGTCGACCATGATGGAGATGGAATCTGTTTCACATCTACGTACTCAGATATGCCAAATTCCGAAACCCTGATGCTCTCATTTACTCCGGGGGGTCGTAAGGACTTCGCCGATGCTCTCGCGAGGCAAGGCACTTTTATTTCGGAGGATTTTGGCCCCATCAAATACCTTCATGAGAACCCTGAGCAAGAAGCCATTGCAGAGATGAAGAGTGGAAAGTGGGTCGTGTATGCGGCACGCACTCTAGTGGTCCGTTTCTGGGACCTCAGTAAGGTTAGTGTGGTTCTGTCTGATTATCTGTGGACAGGTCCTTACCATACCGCTTTTTTCCAGAAAGCTGACAATCTGGACATCCTCCTCGTTCTCGCCGGATATGTATTGATGCACACAACATTCATCCGCCTTTTCCTAGCATCCCGCAGCCTTGGCTCTAACTTCTGGTTAACTACTGCAATTCTTTCATCGTCGACCCTTTCTTTCATGGTTGCATTGCCTATTGCCAGTTACCTTCGCATACCTCTCGATCCTGTGAGCCTAATTGAAGCCCTTCCTTTCTTGGTCTGTACAGTCGGATTCGAGAAGCCCCTTCGCCTCGCTCGCGCGGTATTTGGCCATCCACATTTCATACAGCCCGCCATCCATGAGGGACGTCTGCGTGGTCAGATGAAGCCAGCTCCAGACCTCATCGTGGAGGCGCTTGATAAAGTCGGCAACATTATCGTTCGGGACTATGCTCTCGAAATTGCCGTACTTCTTATTGGTGCATATAGCAAGGTCGGCGGGCTCAAGGAGTTCTGCGCTCTCGCGGCCCTACTCTTAACGGTAGATTGTGCTGCAACTGCGACGTTCTACGTCGCTATCCTTAGCATTATGATTGAGGTAGGTTCCATGTCTTTTACGTGCGAAAGGTTTTTAATTGTTATAGGTGCGCCGCATCAAGATGTTCCGTGCCTTGTCATCGCGGAGGTCATCCATGTCGGACGTCAAGCCTCCCGCGATTGTGAATGGCCAACTCCAGATGCCAAAACTCAGCCTGCGTCAGCGAACCTCGGCTGCGTTATTGGGCGTGAAGGGCTCTTTGCTCAAGTCTCAGTCCAAGGAGAAAGGAGGAAAGGAGGAGAATCCTGTCGCGCGCCTAAAGTTATTGCTAGTATGAGCACCCCCCCTCCCTTTCAGGGGCATCATTAATTTATTCCTGTAGATCGTCTCATTCCTCTCACTCCACTTGCTGAACCTGTGCACCACGTTCACCCCTGGCGCTGCTATGCCCCGCCCTCAGCAGGTACAGAACTCTCCTTATGCTAGGGATGCCTTACCTAGCTTCCGCACCGTCGACATCACCAGCCCCCCTGTTGAGCAATCCCTCTCTAGCCTCGCGGCCCTTCACAATGGATCTGAGTTGATAGTACGCATATCAGCACCGGTTCACCTGCGCATGGTGCCTGTCATCTCGCCACACCTTCATAGGGAGCCAAGATCAAGGGACGCGATACAGACGATATGATCGATAGTTTCATGTCTTCATGGACTCGGCTTGTCGGTGACCCTATCCTGTCTAAATGGATCGTGTTACTCCTTGGTGTCAGCGTTGCACTTAACGGTTACCTTCTCAAGGGTATTTCTACCGGGACTGGCTCTACTCGCAGTGTCCAACAGGCTCAGGGTGTCCGATTCAATGCCGTTGACCGAGTTCAGGAAAAACACCGGGTGGTCCCCGCTCTTCCTGCGCCTATCCCAACTATCCTGGAGCCTCGCACGGAAAACGTTGCTGTTTATTCTGCCGCGCCTGCAGTTGTTCGACCTATCCCTATCCCAGCCGTTCCGAGGGCGCCTTCTGTGAATGGAATCTCCTCGCTCCTGGAGTCAGTTGATCAGAAACTTAAGGCGCAACAATCTACATTCACGACCAGTGACGAGTCAGATTCACAAGATGAGGAGTCTGGCACAAAGGAGACTTCAACTCATATACGCTCGTTGGAAGAGTGTATCGACATCTTCGAGAATGGTCCTCGCCCAGTCTCTGTGTCCCTCTCATTACTCAATGACGAAGAAGTTATTCTTTTGGCTCAAAATGGTAAAATTCAAGCGTATGCCCTGGAGAAAGTTTTAGGCGATCTAGAACGTTCCGTTTTGATTCGAAGGGCATTAATCTGTGCGTGCACTTAGGTTTTGCTATTAGCATCATAACTGATGGGAATTTGCAGCTCGGTCGTCGAAAACCAAGACGCTCGAACATTCCGATGTGCCCATGTCGAACTACGATTATTCTCGAGTCATGGGTGCCTGCTGTGAGAACGTTGTTGGTTACATACCTCTTCCCCTGGGTATCGCGGGCCCTCTCAAGGTTGATGGCGAGATGTTCCCAATCCCCATGGCGACCGCAGAAGGCACACTCGTGGCTTCAACGTCCCGTGGCTGCAAGGCTCTCAATGCTGGAGGAGGCGTCGCTACTGTTGTCATCTACGACGGCATGACCCGCGGCCCTGCTATCGATTTCCCATCCGTTGCTCTCGCAGCTGCTGCTAAGGCGTGGATCGACTCAAGTGAAGGTGGTGCGATATTGAAGGAAGCATTCGAGAGTACGTCGCGCTTTGCAAAGCTGCAGAAGCTTAAGACCGCCATGGCCGGTCGAACGCTGTTTGTGCGATTCGCAACGACCACTGGTGACGCAATGGGCATGAACATGATTTCGAAAGGTACCGAAAAGGCGCTGGAAGTCATGAGCAAGTACTTCCCGGAGATGATTGTCCTCGCCCTCTCTGGTAATTATTGTACCGATAAGAAGCCTGCCGCCATAAACTGGATCGAGGGACGTGGCAAGAGTGTGGTTGCAGAGGCGGTCCTATCCGGTCATGTTGTCAAGTCGGTGCTGAAGACCACACCGGAGGCGCTGTGCAACCTCAACATAAAGAAAAACCTAGTTGGCAGCGCGATGGCAGGCTCCGTCGGTGGCTTCAATGCTCATGCCGCAAACATCTTGACTGCGATATTCATTGCCACTGGACAAGACCCAGCACAGAATGTGGAATCATCTAACTGCATGACGCTGATGGAGTTGTAAGTTTTTTTTCTGCCGCATTTGGCAAGGATTATTCGTTGACCAGAATACTAGAACGAACGAAGGTAAAGATGTTCTTGTCACCATCACAATGCCTTGCATAGAAGTTGGCACCGTTGGCGGTGGTACTGTCCTTGCCCCCAGCAATCCGTATTGGAGATGTTAGGTATAAAGGGCGCGCACCCGACAGAGCCAGGTCAGAATGCCCAACAGCTTGCTCGCATCATAGCTGCTGCCGTCATGGCAGGCGAGCTCTCCCTCCTCAGTGCTCTCGCCGCCGGTCACCTCGTCCGCGCGCACCTTGTCCACAACCGCTCGCAAGCTCCTACTCCCGCCTCATCGCGACCGATTACACCAGGGCCCGAAACACCTCCGAACGTGCTATGGGTGCCAGGTACTCCCAACTCGAAGTCCATAACCAAAGCGACAGTTGGGCCCTTGACAGCATCCTCGTCCACAGTGTCGCTGGCTGGCTATAGTATAGATCCCAAACCCTGAGACATAAGCCTCCGCTGTTGTTAAATCGTTGCCTCTCCTGTCAATCTTGCATCATTGCGCTACATTATTCATGCTATACCTAGTTCCCATGCGCTTAATTCGCACGAGGCGGTGGCTTATCTTCACATCTTATACATTGCTTCCATTTATTACAGTGAGCATTGTCCGGCTTGTACAACGGATTGGAATCATTACAAGGATTTTATTGCATTAGGAAGATAGAAATGAACGATATAGATGTAAAGAGCACTGCATGTTCCAGTAATCTTATTTTACTCTAGCTGTTAATGCCCGCCTAGCTCAATCGGATAGAGCGTCAGACTCTTATGGCGAGTGCATAGTCATCTCATGAGTTTAATCTGAAGGCTGCGAGTTCGACCCTCGCGGTGGGCTAGTTCTATATTTTTTGCAGTTTCTTCGCGTGAGTGGTGAGCTACCTGCAGATGGACACCATAAGCTGACTAGCACTGACTAGCACTGACTGCTAATGCACAAATGACTATTAACAAATATGGACTTTGGGTGGATCATCATTCATCGAACAGAAGTGGTGTCCGTAGCGAAGTCTTCGGTCACCTTCACTGCTCCACTTGATACTCCAAACCCAAAGCTGATACCGCCACTCATCGACCTCGCTTCAGAGCGGCCATCCGCTTTTTTATGCTCTTCGACTAACTTGCACAATGCACTGAGTGTCGTCCATTGGGGTTTATAGCCCAGACCCCCCCTTTCCGGGGGTGTCCGAGCACTGGAATCATCCCATATCAGGTGTATCATAGTGAGGGAGAATAGCGAGGGCTGGAGATTGACGAGATCCCCGGTTGGAGCCGGTACAATCTGTCCGAGGTGACGGAGGAGAGGGCTCGACGACAACGCAGCGAAAGAACGTAGAAGGTGTAGCCCCTCAAATATGTGAGAGAGCATAAGCATGGCGGTGGCAGACAACCGAGGAAACACGGTACGCCCATCGGTAAGAGTGGTGAGTACGGTGTAAACATCGCCGTACGTAACGGGCGGGCCGGCGTCTACGATGCCGAACGCCTGCCCGCCGACATCAGGATTGGGGGAGCCTCGCGCCTTCTCGATCAGACGCTGTTCATAGCAGAAATGAGCGAGCGAGGCATTCTCCACGTAAATGAAATTGTGGAGGATGTCTTGTATCCACGAGGGGTTGACTTGCCGCGCGAGATACGCGCCGCAGAGGATGTCTCCACCCGTGCCGTAGATACCGTTCCCCGGTCGCAGACACCCGGTGCGAAGCCGGCCCTGCCTCTTCCCAGATACCGGCCTGAGCGGGGTCCCGTCGGCCGCCCGAACGAGCCCCTCGGCCCTGATTTTGGACGCGGCGTAGTTTGAGAACATTTCTTCGTGGCGTCGCGGCAGCCGCCCGTCGTTGTCGTTGTCGTCGATGATTTGCACCGAAAACTCTGGTCGCTTCTCCCAAGGCCAAAGCAACAGCCGTGTGCGCCGAATGGACACCGAGCCGCTCGAGGTATAGATGAGGACGCTCGCGCCTGCGTCCCGCGCGGCATCCAAAACGTTCTGCGTCCCCCCGACGTTCACTCTGTCCGACAGGTGCTGCAGTCTGGGGTGGCGCTCGTAGAAGCGGATGTTGGCCGCGGTGTGGAAGACGGTGATCTCGGGAGACAAGAACTCCTGCCCCTCCTCTTCCTCCTCGCGGCTATTTGCCAAACCCAGACCGTGACCTACGGGTGCGGATGCAGGTGTAGGGGCCAGGGGCCAGGATGCCCTGAAGGCTGCCTGGACCTGCTCTCGGTCGGTGACGTCGACGAGACGAAAGTCGATGTCCTTGGCAGAGCCAGAGGTCAGGTCAGGGCGCGTAGGTGCGCGTACGTCGAGGACTCTGATCTGTTTTGGGTGCTCGCCGCGCTCGAGCAGATGGCGGACGATCCAGCCACCGAGGAAGCCAGCCTGTTCAACAAAGAGGATGGATGTAAGCGGGACGCCACTTGACTTGCGGCTGGTAAACATCTAACATACCCCGCCGACGACGATATACCTCCGTCCTGTCCTGGGTGGGAGGAACGCTTTTGATTCTAATGCCGATTTTTTCGGATTGCCGATGCTTCTAAAGCGTCTCTTGGGCTGATCCTATGAGGAGAGAAAGCAGCGGCTACCTCAAGAGGCAGATCCATGAGTTTAGCATCGTTCAAACGAATGTACAGGTATAGGTATAGAAGAACCACCGAAAAGAAACAGAGGAGAGCAACTGTGTAGTTCATCCTGTAGTCGTCTGGCTAGAGAGGAACCACTGCCATGTGTTGTTAATCGAGCTCATCACTCATCACATCGTTGACGCCGAAAACATTACCCGACGACAGGCCCATTTCATTTTTGCCGTAACACTGACTAATGCGCGCTCATAGTCAACAACCAAGTCCACATATATTAACACGCCCAACGACCGCAAAGCACATGTACAAGATTGGATCTACAGATTGAGCATGTAAACGACGGCGGGACGTGTCTAGGTGGGTGGCGGAGGGGGTGGTGCTGGTTCACTGGGAGGCGGGGCAGGAGCTGCCGCAGCACCACCACCCGCAGCAGTGGCATCGGAGCCAGGCGCAGTATATCCTTGGGATGCATAATATTGGTTGTATTGTGCCATTTGACTTGCCTGCCATTCTTTGAACTCCGGCGAATTCACGTCGTAGCCATATGCAGCCCTGTGTGATTGTGATATGTAGGGGTGACCCAGGTCCTGTAAGGGATGAAACGTACCAGTACGACGTGTAAGCGTCCATGTCCGTAGGAGCCGGTGCAGCAGGGGCAGTTCCTGAGCCAGATGTAGCCCCATCGGAAGGTGGTGGTGGTGGTTGTTCACCGGGGGGTGGTGGTGGAGGCGCCGCTGATGGAGGGGGCGGCGCGTAACCCTAAGGAGGGTAGGAATATCAGAAAATGAGAAAATAATACTGTAGGGAGACGAGCGCCATGATGGAGAGAAGGCACATACCCCCATCATACCATAAGAGGCATACTGCATTTGGGCTTGGTGAAGCTCCATCTGTTGCTGATGCACTACCGCCTTGACCTTCGCATATTCCCCTCGGACAACCTCAAGTAGGTCATCCGTTAACGCCTTTGCGCGTGCAACTTGACCTTCTTCGGGTCCGCTAGAGAAGCCGTCAGAACAGCTGAATGCGCCGAGACTCAAACACACGTTATGTGAATGTGCATGGGCTCTTCTGACTCCTTCCCGGTTTCCTGATCCACAAACCCCGATCCTTGGCCTTTGATCTGCACGCGGGTCCCCGTTTCTTGCTGGATATACTTGACGAACATGCCCTGCGGACGGCTCATAAGAAAATAACTACGTCGAATGACCAGGCACTTACTGTAGGGCCGACAACCTTGGCGCGTACGTTGAAATTACGGATTGACTCCAAGCCGATGAAGATTTTCTCCTCAGGCCATTTACGCTAAGAGGACGTGAGCACCGCAAACAGCACCGAACTATGCAGAGAGAGATGCACCTTTTCGCGCCTTCCCTTATCCTCAACGAGAGAGCCCATGTCCACTGCAATGAGTTCATTGACTTTGTCAATAGCATTTTGTAATATTTCCTTCGTATTCGCGGATATGTGAAGGTACAAAGGAGGGTCTTTCTCTGTGGCCTTCGCGCGATCGGGGTACCATATACCTTTTGTACTGACCGATGCACCTGTTTCGTCGTGTATCTAAAAGAAAATAGACACGAGTTTTTGTGAGGTATTTCTGTCATGGAGGGAATGGAGTATCCCACTTGTTGTTGCGTGGAACCCTTGGTCAACATATATCGATTCCTCACGTCATTGATATCAATGTCTTGAGTAAACTCTCCGTCGTGTATGTCCTTTGGTCCGAGTAACCCGCCCCCGCCCCCAGCTGCAGCACCACTGTACTGAGCAGCGATTTTGGCCGCAATAGCTGCTGCTGCGGCAGCAGCGGTGGAGGCGTTTTTGCTTTCGTCCACTTTCGCAACCTTTGCGGGCGATTCAGGGTCATCTTTGACCTCCTCCGGTGCAGCCTGATCCCATTTTCGTTTGGAGGACATAGCAGTGGAATATGGTAGAGGCACCGTTGGTTGGCGGTTGGTGACGCGAAAGGGTACAATGTCTTATGTAATATCTCGTGCATATTATACAACCTCTACAAAATTGGCAGGAAACGAACCCTCCCTTCCCTCGAGCCTACCCTTCCACCTAAGCCGAATGAACAGGTCAGCACGCAGTGCTCCAGATGGCTAAGGTGCAGTATGAGACTCACCATGTATCTGTTGAGTCACTCTTCTCTGTAATAGTGATGACCTGTCCTTTCAAGAAAGACAGATCTCCCGATTCAACAGCACGAAAATCGAATAGTGCAATCGCACGACCGACACCTTCCCCCTGTGCAAGTGGCCTACTAAGCACACGATTGCGCTCAGCCTCACGGTACTGTGCAGCCGCGGCATCCATAGCACGATTTCCCGCCCCGAACGGGTCATCTTCGTCCTCGAGTGTCGGCCCAAATGACGATGTAACATCATACCCATCACTCCCACGCTCTTCTGGTGAGAAGAACGGATTTGTGGCGCCCGCTGCGCTACTCACCGATCGGGAGTGTGCTGGTTGCAGTCGCGTGCCAGAGCTCGTACCTATGGAAGAGTCGAGTGACTGACCAGGAGTATGTCGCGCACGCGAGCGCACAGTGGGAACAAAATCACTTTCGAAGCGGGTTTCGAAAGGGGAAGGATCGTCGATCTGGGGAGCACGATCATAGTCCCAGGCCGAACCAAAAACAGCCTCCTCTTCAGGAGGTCCAAAATATCCGTCCGAATTCTTGCGGGCGCCCCACGAATCAGAGGGAAAGGCGGGGACGGTAGCTGATCTCTGCTGCTGCTTGCGCAATGATTGTGGGACTTCCGTGTTAGAACTTGCGATCCCACCAAACGCGTAAGACGAGCCAGTTGAGGGTCGTCCGTCTGCCACCCACGCACGTCCGCCGGGTGAGCTGGTACAGGCTTCAAGTGTGCGAATAAGAGGCTGTGTCCAGCTGGGCGGTGTGATGCTGCCACTGAGAATTTGCTTGGCGCTTACGTTGGAGCGATATGCTTGCACATTCGCATCCTGTCGCTCAACGATGACGGAGCCTTCGATCGAAACGCCACCGAAGAGGCCACGCGTTTTCGAGTAGCTGTACCTGAGGGGACGTCGGACAAGGGCTAACGATGAAAGTGATAAGGTGTACGAACATTGCGGCAACTTTGCCGCTTGTGCTCAGAGCAGTTGAGGCTTCCCCGTTACGGCCCAGAGGCCCTACAGCTAGACTCATATTACCGCCGAGAGTCAGTGAGCCTGCAGCCATGAATGACCTCTGTTAAGGTTTAAATGTGGGATAGCGGGCGCATTAGA